GGCGCGCCATGGTGAGGCGGCGCTCGAGCGCGATGGCCAGGAGGCTCAGCACGGACGCGGCGAGCGCCACGAACACGCCGCCCTCGCGCGCGAACCAGAGCGCCGGCGACAGTCTCAGCGTGAGCGGCCCGGACAGCAGAATGTTGGTGGCGTAGGCGGCGCCGGCCAGCAGGTCGGACAGCGTGAGGCTGCCCAGCAGCAGGAACATGGGCGCGCGGAAGCGCGGGTAGCGCGCGAGCGCGAGCAGCACGGCCAGGTTCTCCAGCACGATGAGGGCGCACACGGCCAGGCACACGGCGGCGTCGGCGCGCAGCCCCGCGCCCGGCTGGTAGCGCGCCCCGCGCAGCTTGCCCGTGTAGTTGTAGTGCAGCACCAGGACCTCGCTCACCGGCGCCGGCCGCAGCAGCCCCGGCTCCATGGGCTGCCGCCGCGAGGCTGCGGAAAGGACGGGCCAGGTCACCCGGACGTCCCCACGGTATTGTCCCGCGGCGTGCGGAGGCAGGGACGGGACCTAGGAGCCCCGGGCAAGGCAGCCTGAGCCCCGCGCACTGCCTCCACGCACACCCTTCGGGGGCACAGGGAAATTCAGGGGGAGAGGGCACACGCACACGCACAGCGTCCGGAGGGGCAGCGCGACGCGCACTGTAAAAAGAAGCACTAAGCCGGGCGTGGCGGCTCGGGCCTGTCATCCCAGCTCTCTGGGGCAGGAGGACTGCAATTTCCAGCCTAGCACGGACGCTGTAAGGACTTGGTAAGACCTTGTCTCAAAATAGAAAAAAAAAAAAAAAAAAAAAAAAACTTTTCAAAAGGGCCGGGGATGTAGCTCAGTATGAAGGCCCTGAGTTCAGTCCCCGGCGCCCAACACACACATAAACACATGTACGCACGCACAAGAAGTGATATCTAGAAGCATATTCGATCATAAATAAAGACCACACACACAGAGTAACATGGGCACACGCACACCTACAGACAAGGGCAAAACACACAATCACAGACCCCAATACACAGGAAAACGCATACAACAGTCATATGTGTGCAGGGCACGGTGGCTCAGCATCCCAGCACTCTGGGAGGCTGAGGCAGGAGGATCACAAATTTGCACCCAGGCTGGGCAGCTTAGCCACCTAGCAAGACCCGGTCTCAGTATACAAAGGGCTGGGGATGTGGCTCAGTGTGCAGGCCCTGGCTTCAGTGCCTAGTACTGCAAAAATAAATAAAACAAAATGCATGGATAGAGACTCAGGCAGACATACACAGCAACAAAAATTCTGTCACGGGCTGGGGATGTAGTTCAGTGGCACAGCGCCTGCCAGGGAAGTGCGAGGTCCTGAGCTCAATGCCCCCCCCCCGGGAAAATTCAGTCACCAGGAGACAGGGCCTCACACTCAGCGGCACAGGCCACAATTTCACACACTCCACACCCTTCTCTGAGCTCTGGCTTTCCTCCTACTACAAACTCTTCATCCTGGCAAAACCCCTGCTCTGAAGCTGCTGCCCCCCAGCCCTGCGATGGAGGAAGGGCCCAAGGGCAGCAGACAGGTGCCTCCGTGCAGACCAGCTTTTTACACAGGGACACACATGTCATTACAGCGTAATTACACTTCCCACCTGGGACAGAGCCCTTGCATCCTCTCCTCAATAATCCCCTTAGTCCCAATTCACAGATGAGGAAACTGAGGCTCAAAAGAAACACTTTTTTCCCACGTAGGGTCTTCCTGTGGAGTTCAGGCTGGCCTTGAACTCACTGTGTAGCCCTCGCAGCCGTCCTGTCTCAGCCTCTTAAGGCTGGAATTACAGGCGTGTGCCACCACGTCTGGTTAAAAGAAACACTTTTGAGAAATGGCTTTACTGTCCTTCGAGTCCCACTTTAGACCTGAAAACCGAGATCTGGGAGGGGAAGGGACCAAAGGAGCCCAGGTGGCTTCAGTCGCACACTGGGACCCACACAGCGGGCAGACGGGGTTACTGGCTGTGTGGCGCAGGGGGCAGAGGGCACTAAACACACAGAGCCCCGGCTAGCCCTCGTCTGATGGAGCCTCACCGAGGCCGCGCCACCAGCCCCCTAACCCTGCAGGGATGCAGGGACCCTGGCAGTAGCCCCACTAAGAGAGAGCGAGGCCGGGGACGCCACAAACCCCCGCCTCGGGGACACGGCACCTCCCTCTGCCTTGCTTTCCTGGAGGTCTGGCGGGGATGATCCGGACCCCTCAGCCAGATCGCTGGGCCTTCCCAGCCCGAGAGCGTGGCCAGCCCGACCCCTCCCCACGCCACGGAGAGCCCCGAGCCCTCAGAGCCCCGGGCCCAGGACGGGAGACTCACCCTGTGCCCCGCCCGCGCGCCCTGGCGGTACCGCCGCCCGCGGCCGTGCGCGCTCTCCGGGGC